AACTATTAACTGTGTATTTTGTTCGAAAAAAGCTAACTACTTTTGTGGGGCGATGGCCGCAAAAAAGTCAGACCTGGATACCTCTGCATTACATGTCAACTAACTTGTAACTAACTACTTTTGGACATAAAATATCAATAAGAAAAACAAAATATTTTTTTGTTTTTTTACTTTTTTATTTACTTATTTATTTACTTTATTTTATTACATTTCATATTTGTTTACATATTCTGCTCTGGGTGACCCCATATTCGAACACCGTCAGACATAACTTCAAAATGATAGTATAAAATTTCGATCTTCCTTTTATTTGTCCTGAATATGAAAAAGAATCTGCGAAGTTCAGAAAAAAAGTGTATTGAAAGTAATTTTTGTATGAGGATATTTAATAGAAACTTGTAAAGAAAACCAACTCCCGATTGCGTATGCATGACTCCTGCACGACTTTACAATTCACTTTAAGTTGGTTTTGTCATAGCTAATTAAAAGTGAGGTATTAATCGAAATCTCGCCAAAAAGCTAACTATAAGTTGGTTAGTTTTAACAATTGATAATTTTTCACTGCAGGGCATGGCAACAAAGAGGTTGTCGGGTGTTGGTGTTGTTCTCCAAGTTTCTAAGTGAAGTAGGTTTTGGGTAACTACCCTGTAGTCAAATGAACTAGTTGTAAACTACCTTACAACTAGTATGAACCGCATGCCCAACTAGTCAGCCAACTATCTTTTTTCCATGCAATCAACTGGTATTTTTAACATGGGGATGTCATACGAGATGGCAATTGTCAGATTTCGGTCAGAAATATACCAGTATCATACTAGTTCAAAATAGACAGAAAAACACTAGTTTAATTATGGACCAAAACCACTACTTTGGGAGTAGAAAATAAAATGAATTCATGAATATGCAATAAACAATTTTTAAGTACACTTTAATATATAACACATTTTTATTTAGCAGCCTTAGATTTGCCAATAATTAGTGTTAAATGTTTTGAGTATTAATTAAAAGAAAAAATAAATACATAGATATTTCAAACTTTCGAATATAAATTTAAATTCATTTTTCATTAAGTGTTATTAAAAGGAAAAGGTTTCAGGTACAATAAATACTATATTTTTATCTTTTTTAATAATATGGAATATGCAAAAGAAAACATTTTAGTTAAAAATAAAATGAATTCTTTAGATAATCTTTGAGTGAACTAAAATAAAAATAGAAGTTTTCATTAAAATAAATTAAATCCATTAACTTTGCACATTTCAGTCTATTATTTAAAAAAAAAAAATGATAATAATTAATGTTTAAAATTTGAGATTTGGATAAGAATAAAATAAATAAGTAATTCAAGTAGTTATTAAATATTCTTAATTTTTGTCTATTGTTTGACTTGTTGATTGATATTAGAAATTTATCAAATAATTATATTAATAGTGTAATTAAAAAGTCAAGAATAATTGAAACTGATCAATAATTACAAAATAATGATGTAATTAAAACTAATGAATTAATTGACATTTTTTTTAAGTCATTAATTCTTAATCTTTAAAATGGTGGTAATATCGGTATTTAATCATTAAACGGTTATCCAAAAAAACATGCCTTAATTAATAATCATTATGAGTATTAATCATTATTTAACCGGACTAGTATAACTGAATACGTGTTCGATTTAATGGTTTACAATATACCCAAATAAAAGTTATAATATTTTGTGTACTTTATTGTAGTAAACTGTCGAAGTTAAATAAAACAGGGCCTGAATAAATCGTTTTGTACTTGGTACAAGTCTGGTAATTTTCGAACTAGTTCGGTTTCAGTCAGGGAATTCTAGTTGTGAACTAGTATTTTTCCTGACTAGTTTGGGATTTCACTGCAGGGTACATACACGCACTCCTCATTTGCCAGATATACAATTTTCAAGTCAAGTCTAAGTCTTGCATAACTGAGCTTTTATACTCAAATACCAAAACACTTAATTCGAGATAATGCAAATTTAATTATTATATTCAAACAAGATGAACTGAATATTAAACATATCTATAATGATCATGCTGGAGCTGATATATCCTTTAAGACTTTTTGGATCTTATGCAATAAATGTTGGAAAGAATAATATGGATTTCTTGTTATAAGTAAAGATGATTCTATCAACAATGGTCGATATAGAAAAGAATTTGACGTCTTTATAACCCTATAAAATATCCTGCTAGTAATAATTTAAAAACAGTATATCATTTATATTAAAAGTGGTCACTTATAATATAGTAAATCCTACTGTTCTATTAAACAGCTAACTGCTAAACAAGGCTGTTGTATTAAACTGCTAACTGCTAAACAAGGCTCTTCTATTAAACAGCTAACTGCTAAACAAGGCTGTTCTATTAATCAGCTAACTGTTAAACTAGATACTTTAATCATTACTAATTGTATTTTTTAATTAAAATATTATGGAAGTTCATAGAAAACTTATTAAAAACTCGAAATATTTGGGGTATTCACAACGGTGTCGTAAGTGTCGTATTGTTGTATGTCGTAAACTTTAAACGCATAAAAAATATATTAAGGGGGTTTGCAATGTACGATCAAAGTCATATTATGAATTTTTGCAGTGTTAAAAAATATTTGGTTGTCGTTTCAAGTTCTCTTAACATTTATTTAAGCTTTTAAAGTTTACGACATACAACAATACGACACTTACGACACCGTTGTGAATCCCTCAATTAAAAACAAGTACAAGAGCATTCAGCTTGGTGAAACATTAAATGATGAGCTCTTAGAAAAAACGTTTAAACCGATCATCAAACCTTTGAAGGAAATTATAAATGAGAAGAGAATTAAACAATAAAATTATAGAAAAAAGGCATGTGTAGCAACATACACATGATAGAAGTGAAACTTCTTAAAAAAAAGGTGTGAGTACCAGGTACCTACTCACGAAATTTGATGTGTAAACATGTGTTTACGGCTCGGCAAAACATTAAGCGATTGAGTTACAAGCATAGGTTTGGTTATAAATTAAACAATAACTTCATTTCATTTTATTGATTTTCTGATAAATATTTTGTTTATTCATTTTCCTTATATGAATTCGCCCTTCTAGCATCTTTAGGACCAGGTTGTAATGGAAGTAACTGAACGGAGTAACAAATAAATGCAAATGTCTATAATGCAATCAATAGATCCTTACGAATTCGCCGCGATTTGTAACGATTCTCCCCTTGCAATATAACCAAGGTACTAAGTAATGTACGCACTTTTGTTCGCAAAATGCGTTTGTTTAAGTTGAAAGAAGACAGATTCCTTTGTTCGGCATTTCTTCTTACTCGCTTTCTATCTTCTAAGGCGAATTCATATATTCTTATCACATATATTCATGTGGTAGCAAGAGTATAAAAACATTAGTTCCATTATAAATTATACGCACAATTATCACGTCTATACGTAGTCCAATTCACGAAATCATATCACGGATCTGAGTAAAAACTCAGTGCATAAACTCCATTGCGCGTATAATTGAAATCGTGAAATGGTGTTCATGCATTCAGTTTCTACTCAAACGCATGAAATGATTTCATGAATTGCCTACGCATAATGGTAGTAAATGACAGAATGAATTACAACAAACACATCATTTTGACAAATGTAATATAATGCAAGTCTTAAACGTTACGACCGTTGGTTCAGATCGATCCGTAATCAAGTTGGACATTTTGCCCACAAACATTGCAATTTTGCGAGCGGTCTCATTGGAAAATCTCAATTTTACAATTTCATAGTTTCGGCTTATATTTATAAAATTCAACGAAAGCACGTACATATTTCGGCTGAGTTATCCATTTTGGGTTATTAAGTGAACAAAATAAACGCAAAATAGGGATGGACACCGCTTCAACAAAATTGGTTTTTTGATTAATCACGGTTTTTTATTCAGGTTTTAAACCGTTAAAAAAAAACTGTATTAAAAACCTGATCTTTTCGGTCTACTGAAAAAAAAACTGAATTACGAAAATAACTGCAAAAAAAACAAAAAACATCGATATCAAATTAAATTAAATTTTCGCTTACACTTAATACTTACTGCTGTGCAACGCAAATTACTTAAAACAATAAATTTTCTTAATTTTATACATACCCTGCAGTACGGGGGAGCGACTACAGGACTGCTGAATCGGTAGCTACCTGATAAACACCGTCAATTACCGACCGACTACTTGCAGTGTAATTCATCGATTACTTTTACAAGGCAATGTCCTAGGCGGTAGTCACCATCGGCTCTCTCTGCACTACCGGGAGTTACTAAAGTAGTCACTGGCGTGATTTATGGGCGCCCTCTGTCGTAGTTTTTCGCTATTCTGCTTACGACTGGTTCGACTCTGCACTACCATGTGCACTACCACGGGTTAATAGAGTAGCTACTTACCTAGGAGTCGGTGCAGTAGCGGTTCAAAAGTAGTGATTGACTCCAGCAGTACTGGAGGGTATATACATGGGCGTAGCCAGGTAGGGGCAGGGGGTGCTCGTGTATGTGTTGTGTACATGTTTATTTATAAACGTATCCCTCCAGTACTGCTGGAGTCAATCGCTACTTTTGAACCGCTGCCGCACCGACCCCTAGGTAAGTAGCTACTCTATTAACCCGTGGTAGTGCACATGGTCGTGCAGAGTCGAACCAGTCGTAAGCGGGATAGCGAAAAACTACGACAGAGGGCGCCCATAAACAACGCAAGTGACTACTTTAGTAACTCCCGGTAGTGCAGAGAGAGCCGGTGGTGACTACCGTCTAGGACATTGCCTTGTAAAAGTAATCGATGAAATACACTGCAAGTAGTAGGTCGGTAATTGACGGTGTTTATCAGGTATCTACCGATTCAGCAGTCCTGTAGTCGCTCCCCCGTACTGCAGGGATGTGTTCCTTTTCTTTCGTACCCCTGTAGTTCTGTTGGAGTTTTACTGGTGACTGGTGCTGGTGATTCCATGCATCACCGATTGTTAGGCAATTCGCTAGCGACAGGTTATGCGACGCTCGTATTGAAAATATCACATACTAGCGATTTTATGCATATAGGAGTATTACATGTATGATTTTATATAACTTCATTTCCAAATATACGAAATATAATAAAACGGACATATTTATACCAAAACAAACTTCATTTCACAAAACAGACTTTTAATTTGTAAATAAATACTTCAATACTGTCACAATTAAAAAAAACAAAACTCAAGAAAAACGACTTTAAAGTTCTGATTTTACATACATATACTCCCATAGTAAAAATTAATGCATATTTTGTTCTAGTGAGATACTAGTAATCGATACAGCTATGAAATTTTTACACAACATAGAAGAAAAGGTAGCGGTAATTTCTGCACACTCAACTCAAAATTTGTATTTTTTGGATTATGACACTATTGAAGTGAATGTATATATGTATCAGAGCTGTGTAAGTGTGAAATCATTTTCAATTTTAAATCAACAATTTTTTTTCTATCCAGTTTTCATTACTTATTCGTCACTTAGGATAGAGGTTTAAAATTTTTGAATTTTCCATTCTCTCAAAGCAGTTATGAATTCACACATCAACATATTCATAGCAAGATTGAAAAAACCAATGCCCAATCGAAAAAAGGTTTAACACTGAATGAGTATTGAAAAGGCTGCAATCTTTTATGTGTGTGCATTCTTTAACTCAGTACCAATCATTAGTTCAAAGAGACCCTGGTAAATAACTTTTTGATAAAAAGGAAGATTTTTGACAATTGCTCAATTGTAAAAATTCAAACCGGCGTCGCCCAATTTAAGTTTTTTGGTAGAGGGGATTTTATATCATATGTTTTGGATTATATATAAAACAGTTGTATTAACATTTACGTTTTAAATACAATTCATGTTTTATCTTGAAAATGTTTAAAATTTACATTAAATTAGATAACTACTTCGCATAAGCTTTACATTAAGGTTGATAAAAATTTAGTGAAAATATTTTAAAAATCTTAGTGTCTTTAATAAAAAAATAAGTTGATCATAAAAATTGTATCGCCGTTCGGCGTCGGCGTAAGTTTGTAGGTCCCTCCCATTTGTGTGACAGCAAAGGCGCACGCTACAAATCGGAGGAGAAGCTCGGCCAAAACTTAGCAAAAGTGTCAAGGCCAAAATATGATTATTATAAATAAATTTAGTTTCAAACAGGTCGCAACCCTCTTCAAACACCTCAAAAGTATTCCCAATAGTATTTAGTTGTGAACCCGTACTTGGTTTTCTGGCAACTGAGAGGACAAATAAAAGAGAAAGTAAGGTCATCTCTTTGTGAGAAGCTAACTGGTGGTAAATTCTGGTAAATGTGTCAAAAGATCCCATGTAGTGTGTTTGACAACCAAATTTTAAACAAAAGAGAAGTGCACTCTGCTAATGCATGTTCAAAAGTAAATAATTCCTTGCTTGAGTGGATGCTAATGAATTTTGGTTAAATTACAAAACGCTTAAAAAGGTATTAGCCGTCATTTTACGTGTAAAAACTTTAAAACTTTAACACATTACCACCCTATACTCTATATGTGATTGACCATTGAACTAAATCGTTGTTTATTTGGGTAAGATTAAAATATATTTTACTATTCAATATTGGAGTTGGTGTGAAACAAAAATTAATAATTTATTGTTATGTATGCAAATGAGAACTACAATTCTGAGCTTATTGAGCATCTCTTAGTCAAAAACAAAGGCAATTTTGCTTGATCAAGTTTCGAATCTAAGAAGAAAATGTTTTTAACAAACAAAAGGTTAATAATAAAATTTGAAGGATTTAAGATATTGCGTATGGTAGCATGAAACGTCACAATCTTCTTAATTGTCAGGCTGTTGATATGGCTACGAAAAAGTGACAATGGAAACACATAGCTGAAGATTTCATACTTACAGTGGGATAAACTTCAAACCTCTAATATAAATTAGTTAAATTTAGTTATTATTTTGTTTTTTTTTATCAATTTTAAGTTTTCGTTTGGAATAATTTTCATGAACTTATCTATTAGGAGATCCCTTTGGAAAATTACCGTACATCCGATATCTATTGAAATTTTGACATCCTCACTTTTTGGAAAAAGAAGTTCAAGATACAAGTTTTTGTGCAAAAAATAAATTAAACAATAAAAGTCTCCTTATATTTATGGAACTTATAATAGAAAAATTTTTATTTCATTACCCAGACTTTATGAATAGCCTACTCTATAAGTAATAGTAGAAATTCCGAAATTAGTAAGTTCAGTCAAGACGTCATTCAAAAGTTTTGAAGAAAATCATTTTTCTCTTTTGTGAAATTTGGGACTATCTTATGCGAGTATTGTCGACAAAATGTTAGTCTATGAATGACTAAAAATTATCGAATAAATGGTTAATCGCGATTAATTATTAAAATTAATTAAGCGATCGTTGTGGTGTAGTGGTTAGAAGTGCGCACTACCATTCCGCAGGGTGAGCGACCGAGCCCAGTTCCGGCCACCAAAAAAAAGAAAATGTTTTTTGTAATAGTGGTTGGCCCCCGGCAGGAGTCGGCGTAAAACTGTAGGTCCCTCCCCTTTGTGCGACAACATCAAGGCGCATGCCACAATCGGAGGAGTAGCTCGGCCAAACACTAACATATGTCGATGGTCCTCTGCAATAACGGCACAGTTCAAAATTTCAGGTTCAGAAAAATACATATGACTGCATATAACCCGGAATAATTACGTTCCAAGACATATTATTGCTAAATTACGAAACAAAAAATCTTTAATTGGCTCTACTGAAATATATGAAATTTTTAGTTGTGTCGATATGTAAGCGCCTTTCTATTATTATTAGTAATCATCAATACAATTTCAAATTACATAAACCCAGTCACAGCCCTTTTTTGTATTCGACGCTTCCAGAAATCACATAATACATAAAATAAATAAAAGCTGTTTTGATTAATATTACATAAACTGGAAACTGTTAAAAATAAGTGCGCTTGTGTACAGAGATTTTAGAACCTATTTAGTTAAAATGTCTGTGGGCAACACATAACAATAAAAATCAAATTGCTAAGTTTGCTAAGAATGATGAAGGAAATCGATTCAGACATGCCTGTTTAACTGGCCGTGCGTGCTCAAAACAAACACATGTTAATTAAGGAGCTATTCATGTATTATTTTACCACCAGTGGAAAGCGGGGTCTTGGTTTGCTTATTTTTAATACCAACGGGCAACATTTCTTCAAATAAGTANACAAATGTATGTAACAAAGTGTGATTGAATTTGACGTTGCTCTCAGAAGAATCATCTTATTAAGTCAAATTGAAAATTTTTATGAATTTCGGGTCGGATATTTCTTTTGAATAATGGCTGAATTTCTTTATTCATTCTGAACGTTTGGAATAAACTTTTTTGTTTACTTATTCCTTAGAACGTTCCTTATGATATGTTAACGTATATTTCAAACACATTCTGTTTATTCTGGCTGTGAAATGAGATTATCCGGAATGTATAAAGAAACGCAGCCATTAATTACACACGCACAAATTTTGCCTGCAATTT